GAGGGAGAGGGAGAGGGAGAGGGAGAGGGAGAGACAAGGGACAAAAAGAAAGATATGATGAAAGATAAAGACAGAAGTGAATGACTTCCCACTTTCCACCCAACAGTAACTGAAGTTTCTACAGAAATTAGCTCGCTGTATTATAAGGCTTGTTCATACACATATGGGATTATGGTTTGACATAATCACATGATTAAAGATCTTCACTTTCTTTTTAAACTTTCAGGCACCCTGTGCATTTTTGTTTTTACTGTGCCAAAATATATTAAAATGGTTAATCTGTTCATTCAGAGGATTCTTTTGCATTAGATGTGCCTGTGCTCCATTTACCTGATTGTGTGTTGAGCTGTAAGATGTTCGATTCATGCCTTTTGACTAAAATTTTGACAGTTAACTTTGGAACCATAAGCCCTCAGTATAAATAAGTGGTATCTGGTGTTTTGACAGGAGCTACTTCATTTATGCAAATCTTGTTCACAATAAGAAATCAGGAGAATGAATCATCAAGAACAGTATGCACAGCTACAGACCGAGAAAGATCTAGGGCTTGCATTGACAATTTATAGAATACGACAAGAAGAAAAGGTTACTTCTACTGTACAACCAGAGGAAAAGTGGAATAATTATGTTTATTACTCCATACGACTACAGCTTAGGTGTATGTTAAAAGGCTTCAAAACACAATAGAAAGTTAGGTCAGAAACTTAGTTGGTTTCATAGTCAAATTCACTTCAAGCATCTTAACGCTCACTAAGTCTTATTCTTGTATCAACTCATGGTCATGGGCCTACATTAGCTCACCAGATGTATGCAAATGATCTGGAATATAAAGCTCCGCATGGCACTTGGCAACTGACCAAAATAACAAACGGAATCAAGAACTGACTGTGTTGGAATTTGTGAAGCAAATGAAACTGCCCATCTTCCATAGTACAATACCATTAAGATCACTGTTCACCATTGTTTTTAGCGAAGCACTGTTGAGGATCTGACATTCAGAAGGAAAAATGCCATGAATTAGCATTACTATCTTGCTTTCTCATGGACATTTCTTAGCACAGACTTCACGTGTCATCAGTTGTCTGTGAAATCAACGTTTATACTTGCAGGTTTAGTTGAATATTAAGAAGTATGATTTCATTTTTTAACTCCAAAAAATTAAACCAAGTTTTTTTTTCATGGCCTATTATATTCAAAAAGTAACTCTTAGCCAACTCAAATGTTCTCCATACATAAACATGATAATTTTACTGTCACTTACTGCTAGACATCGAACAGAGAGGAGTCACTACTTGCAATAAGCCCCACACCAAGTGCTATTTAAAAATATATGGAAAGACATAGGAATAAATTTAAATGTGGTAATATTTCACTGTGCTTACGATTTATGCAAATAATTGGAGCCTGGCTATAGCAAGACAATACATCACCTGCTCTTTTTAAACAGGACACCATGATTTTCATATTTATTATTCTGCATGGATTATAATTATGGCTGACTGGAAGTGCATTTGTTTCAATTTTTTTAAAAAAAGTCAACTATTGCACTGCAAATGCCATAAGATGCCCTGACTTAAAAACCATTGCCATCCAAATCTACTTTTTAAGAATCCATCTTTAAGCAATTGAACTACAATGGGTTATCATTCAGATTTTTCAAGTTACATTTCTGGCTTTTTTCCTTACAAGTTAAGGATTTAAGTGATGTAGCTACCGAATTAATTTGACTATTGACCATTGTGAAGTTTGGGAATTATCTAGAAGACCTGGAGCTGAATTACTGAAATACAGCCAAGAACCAAATGCATCACCCACTGGATATGAGGTCACCCCACAAGGTAAATTCCCAACTTCTGAGCCATCACATACATAGCAGAGAGTGTTTGTTTAGCAACCGTTTGTTTAGAGGGAATAATGGACAAATTGTCAATTTAAATTGATGTTGCATTTCCACCCACTGCAATCTTGTATTTTTGTAATTTAAAATAGAGAACACTTTAACATCGTATAACAAAACCAAAAAACTTAGTTTTGATCAACATGCTGTTACTTCAAACCGTGCACTTTTCAGCATTAAGCCCACGAGAACTCTCAAAAGACACTGGATCCGTCACAAACCAACAGCGACAAGGAGAAGTTGGGATTTTAAACTTCGGAACTCATCAAATAACTCGTTCTAAAAGCACATGCTACACGTGGTATAATTTCCTGGCGGTAGGGGAACGTAAGACGTTATGCCTTAGCGCAAGTTTAAATGAAAAAAAATCTCACGATAAAGATGAAATAATTTCAATTCTCCAA